GAATAATGTATTCCTCACCTAAAATAATTACCATTTTTGTCGAAGATTAATTATGTTTGAAAATATTATTAGGCTTTTGCTAAAGAACCCTCTGGAGTGGTCAGTGCCCTTCAGAAGAGCATTGTTTCCTTGGTCTCCTTGGTCATATTTCCTTCACATTGAATGAAAAATTGGGGGGCTTCATTTGATGTGTACAACTGTCTTCTCATTGGTCATATTTACAATGATCTATTAATGCTTGTAATGGTCCTATTTATAATGTGCTCTGTAGCATTCAGTGGCTTGCTGTGTGCTGATGTATCCATTCAAGTGCACGCATTTTATTTTTTGAAGAACACTGTGCATTTCGAGGAGAGCCTGTGTTGGTTGTTAAGTACCGTAAACGTGTTTGGGCTGTTGCTTCTCTGAGCATCCTGAGTGTGGCATGTCTAAAGGATAAAAGCACTTGAACTTTCAGGCAGCGTGGAGTCTCATCATCTTTCATTTCACTGTTTCTGCCCTTCAGCCACAGGTCACCCTTCTGCAAGGGCATTAACGTACATGGCTGAGTCTAGTACTTTATTTCCTTTCCCATGAGAGTCAATATGCATCCTAGATGAGTCAATACACCTACCGTTAGGTTCCATGATTATTTACTTTCACCGTCAGGGGGTATTTTATTATTTCTCTACTGATTTTAGTACAGTCTTTGTGATGCACAAAACACTTATACCCAGGTTACTCCTCCATTTTCTCTTTTATCCTGATCATCTATCTGTATCTTCTGGTACATCACCATTATTTAACAATATTTTAGTTACTTAGCAGTGAATATTAACTTTGTGAAAGTCACATTCTTTCCTTATTACTCTGAATTCTTTTCATTCTTTTTCTAAACTTTTCAATGTTACTATAATAATACCCTTCAACTAATAATACCTTTCAAATAATTTTGTCAGCACTATTTAAAACAAATTCTTACAACTCTGGATTTGCTTTAAGTTTGGTAGCACTTGGGGCAATGTTGATATCTATGCAACATTGTTTTTAATGTGCTTTTATATTTGAAATGAGTCTTTGCTCATATTTTCTGTTGGATATTTGTAAGGAGTACAGGTGAGTTTTTAAAATACAGATTGGTTTCTTATTTTTTACTTTCTGTTTTATTTAAGAGTTTCCTGGTAGAGTGATTATCTGTTCGCAAGTTGCAGATATAATTTATCTGTAAATCCATTCAGTCCTGATGTGTATTTGGACTTTTATTTCCTAAGGCATCTGTGGGAACCATGCAGCACTATTCGTGTCATGCTCTCTAGTTCATATTTCAGTATATTCAGGTTACTATATTTTCCTTTGAAAAGAAAGGAAAAAATCCTTTTTTCCTGAAATCAAAGGAATGGATTTTAATGACCTGCATCACTTCACTCATAATCTCTGCCTTTTATAAAATGTTGCTAATGTTTTTTCCTACAGCAGTTTTCCTCACTCGACTCCTCGCATGCGTGTCTACCCGTGGATCCCTCCAAGGTGCCAGATTGCTGTTAAATTTTCTTTTGGACCCACTGGAGGTGTCCCCCCACCCGTTCACTTTCATCTGCATTCTTATTCTCAACTATTTCCAGCATATTTTTCTTCTCTTTCACTCACGTGTAACTCACATTCGTGTGTTCTATTTTTAACCTTCTGTTCAAGAAACTTAATGCTGAGACTCCCTCTTCAAGCAGACGCACTCACCTGCCTCAGACCTGCCCTCCCTCTCTGTGTCCTTAACTGGCTGTGACTTCCGAATCGTTGCTTTCGTTTCCTTTCAAAATAATTTCATGAAGATGATTTTTGGTTTGTCCACTGACCTGCTAAAAATGTTTTCCATATTTAATGAGAAGTTTCAGTATTTAATGAGAAGTTTCCTTAGTGTATGGTTTGATAAACTGAATTTCAAATGTGCCTGCTCACTGTATTTCTGTGCTGACCCAAGATCTCTCTCTCCTGGTGACGTAGAAACCTGCTGGGATGGGGATTTGCTTGGTGATAAGAGAGAAGCCTGTTCACACTCACAGGACTCCTCTCTGTTAAGGGCATTGCTGTAACTGGGATCTGGGATGTCGTCAGAGGCAATGTGTTAAACACTTGGGCCTCTGCTTGGCAGGTTGTGGGAGCTTTAAGCAGTGGGGTCCTGCAGGAGAGTTGGGTACTGGAGTTGTGGGACCCCAGGCTTTCCTCTTCCTTCCTCTTTCCTGCCCCAGCCCTGAGTGGGTGCTCTGCTCCGTCAAATGCTCTAATGGTGACGTACTGCGCTGCCGTGGCCAGAAGCAGCGGGCCACCAACCACAGACTAAAACCTCCAAACCATAAACCATCTTCCCTTTTTACGTTGATCATCTCAAGTATTTTGTACAGTCCTGACTGACACAGGCATAAGACGTGAGACATATAAATACACACTGGCTTGTTGGGAGGACTTAATTTGTAATTTATTATATATTTCTGGTAAAAAATGTAAGAAGTTAAGATTAACAATATACATAACCCCTGTATTGGCACTTTTCAGTCAAAATCTGAGAGTCTGATGTTTGGTCTTACTGTGGCTGTCGTTAGGTATAGTCAAATGAATATTTCCTAATGGATTTCATATAAAACTATATTATTGAGCTTAACATTTTCAATTTATGGTAATTTTGTTTTTCTTAATGCTTTCCACGTTGAGATAAATGTGTTTGAGCATTCACATAAATATTTAGTACTTATTTTTAGTTGTGCTATATTGTGAGCACTTGTCTTTATGAATATAGAGTTACAAAAAGCTTGGTCCTTGTCCTCAATGCCAATTTAATAAGGAAGACACTGTTTTGAGAAAAAGGAAAAGGAGGGTTGATTGCTTTGCTAGTGAAGGAGAAGCACAGGGGATTCCTGTCCTAGAGGTCCTGATTCTGCCCATCAGGGAGAACAGAGGGATTTTAAGGAAGGGATTCATTCCAAGTGTCCCCTGAGTTGGGGGAGGATTCATGTGCCAGTTTGGGAGACAGCCATTCCCTAGAGACTGCCTTCCCTGAAATCTGAACTGCTTGGTCCCTATGGTGGGTGTGTGCTCTGCCTAAATGGGAAAAAGGCAATCCTGTTTTCCATCCCCAGGTTAGGGAGGAGGAGAGGGAGAAGAGGAAAGGAAAGCATGTCCATTTAATAACAAGTCTCAATGGCAGCTTAAATAAAATTCTAAATTGCACAGCAGGTGAGATAATGCATCCGCATCAGAGAGTGTGGTCTGGTGTTCAGAAAGAAAGAAGAAATGCAAAACACGTGATAGGAAAATACGATGTAAAACACAAATGATGTGGAAAAGTGATGACATTTATAATACCAAATGGAAAAAATTCTTCAGTTAAATACAGATTGCCAAATAGGAGGAGAAATCACAATTTTTGGTCAATTCTTTGTAAAAAAAGAAATGTGAAATAAAAAACATATGGAATATTCCAAAGTCAAGATATGGCAGAAAGTACAAAGAGAAACCATGCAAATTCCAAACACAAAACATCAGTGGTGGAGAGGGAGCTAAAATAATATCAAACAATTGAATAATTTATTCAATAAGTTGCAAAAGACAAAATTCAGCATTATAAATAAAATGGCCCATTTATTATGGGACAAGCCTCAAACCAGCACAAAGAAATTGTCATTGTTCTCTGACATAATAAACTGTTTTACTATAGTCCAAAATGGAAAAGTAGAAGAGGAGAAAGGAAGACAAGATAGAGGGGTGAGGAGGCACAGCGGGAGGAGCAGAAGTCCTGTGATCTGATTGGTGAGGACTTCAAACAACTGATAAGGTCACCTGTTCCCATAATTATACTTGTGTAGGCCTTCACCCTTGTTTGTTTCACTGCTGTAGATCAACATACCAAATACTGGGTGACTTCAACGACAATCGTCTAGTGTTCACCTTTGTCAAGGATGAGGATTCCAAGATCAAGGAATGACCTGATGGGTTGTCAGGTCAAGGTCTGCTTCCTGATTCATGAATGGACAAGGATCTTCTCGGTGTGCCCCCATACAGCAAGCTCTCTGAAATTTCCAGGGACACTGATAAGAGACACATCCTCATGACCCTATTTCATCCTAACTACCCACCAAGATCTCATGCTCTCACAGCATCACATTGGGTGGAGGATTTCAACAGATGAACTGGGTGAGGGGCAAAGACTAGCATTCAGTACATACAAGTCATTGTATTAGATTTGAAGAAAATCATTGTTGGAGTCTTATCCCTAAAGACCTCTATGCCCTCTAAGCAGGTTGCAGTCCAGGAACTACCAGTATGTCCTGTCGTTGGTTTTTGCCATTGAAGAGATCAACAGGAACCCGTATCTCTTACCCAACGTATCTCTGGGATATGAGTTCCATAGTGTCCTTCACACTGATCAGTGGACACTGGAGAGCTCTTTAACTTGGCTTACCGGAAGGGTCAAGTACATCCCTAATTACACCTGTAGAAAGGAGAGCAAGTCCGTAGCAGTAATTACAGGACAAACATGGACATCTTCAGCCCAAATAGGAACACTGCTGCAGCTCTACAGATTTCCACAGGTGAGGGTGGGAGGGATGGGGAGAGATGAAACCATTATCTACGGGTGCCATTGCCAGGGGAATAAAGAGAGTGACTGGAGAAGACTGAGCTATGCCTGTTATCAGAGTGAATTGTCTCTAAGGCGGTACTCCAGCACTGGAGGGAAATTACACATACTTGGTATGAAATATACAGGGAGAAGTGGGGGAAACATATAAAAGGGCTTCCCTGAACACAGAGATGAGTCAGTTCCTTTATAGGATAGTGTGAGCAAGTAGGGGTTGATTAGAAAACTGGGACAAGGAAATCTTCACTTGTACCACTTAAAAAGGCTGTACAATACCTGTCAGTTCTGAGAGGGTGCCTGGCGCCAAGCCTCTTTCTCACGTGGCTTCCATGTCCTTCCCTTTCAGCTCACCTTTGGGCCTTTTGAACCCATCTTGAGTGACAATGGCCAGTTTCCTTTTCTCTATCAGATGGCCCCCAAGGACACAACTCTGGCCCTTGGCGTGGTGTTCTTGATGATTCATTTCAGCTGGAATTGGGTGGGGCTGATCATTTCAGAAGATGAGAAAGGCATTCGATTTCTCTCAGATGTGAGAGGCGAGATGGACAGGAACGGAGTCTGCGTGGCCTTTGTGAATATGATCCCAGTCACCATGCTGCTGTATTTCACAAGAGCTCACCAACATTACAACCAGATCATGAAATCCTCGGCACGCATGGTTATCATTTTTGGTGACACAGAGTCTCTTCTGGCTGTGAGTTTTAATAGATGGGACAATGTAGTCACACAGAGAGTTTGGGTCACCACCTCACAATGGGATGTTACCAATAGTAAGAAACCTTTCATCCTGGACCCATTCCATGGCGCACTCATTTTTTCTCACCACCATGGGGAGATTTCTGGACTGAAACATTTTATCCAGACAGCAAACCCTGCCAAATACCCAGAGGACACATACCTTGCTAGGTTGTGGTGGATGCATTTTAACTGCTCAGTCTCAGAGTCTGAATGTAAAACACTGGAGAGCTGTTCTTCCACAGGCTCCTTGGCATGGTTACCACGGCACCATTTTGACATGGCCGTGAGGGACGGGAGCTACAACATATACAATGCTGTCTATGCCGTGGCCCACACCCTTCACGAGATGCTCCTTCAACAAGCAGATGGGCAACCAGCGAAGAATGGGAAAGGCCCAGTGTTCTCCCCCTGGCAGGTAATGTCTCCAACTGGGGGGTGTGGACTTCACCAAGGTGTCATCCTGAAGGGCTCCACAGGGGCTCCAACCAAGGAGTGTAGGATCCTTTCCCAAAACACAAGCACCTCTGTCCCTTGTCACTGCTAGCAGGTAAATCTGTGCCTGGATGGCAAGCAAGAACCAGATGCCACTGGCCAGGGGAAAAGGAGCTAGGAATGAAGATCCATGTTCAGTTAAAGAGCGCCTCACCGTCCTGCCCGCCCACTGCTCTCAACAGGAGAAGCCCCCTTCCAGGACGCCCTTCACTGACAAGCAGAGAACTAGCTCCCTAACTGCCTGGAGGACGCTGAGCACGATGGGCAGTTTGCAGAAGGGGTCTCATGCAATTCTGCACCACTCCAGGTTCTGGTGGCCTGACCTGGCTGACAGGTGCTCTGAGGCCCAGGAG